AAGAGTAAGAAATTGAGGAAACCATTCGTATACATATAATCGTGTTACTGAAGTCAGTGGTTTTTTTAGTTTTAGAAATTTGTACTACATGTATAATCAATGTTAAATTTTTTTTACAGGTTGGCTTAATTATAAAAATATTACTGTAGGTAAGTGTTAGGTACAATGAAAAATGTGTTTTTGAAAAATTGGTGAATTTATTATTTGTTTTTTTTTTAAGTATTTGATACATAGGTAAAAAATATTATCTTAAAATATTTGTTTGATTTTCTCATTTTAATTTGTTTGTATTGTTTTTCTTTTTAATTCGTTTCAAAATAATTCTTCCTCTTTTGGGATTTCTATAGTTATATAAGAATATAGATTTGAGGAGTTTTTAGTACATTTAACATAATTTAAGTTAAGATTATGAGTTTTCTTTTAAAATAGTTTCTTAAATTTTGCCCAAATCAAGATCCAAACTAGTAATAAATTATAACTGAGAGAGTTATTACAGTCTAGATTTTAGACAAAGCTATTGAATGTGAAAGTTATCAGAATCCGTTAGGTACTATAATAAAGATAATAAACATTTTATGAAATAGTTGAGGATCGAATAAACCAACTCGAACAGTTGAACTCATCATCATATTAGATTCAATTAATCTTTAATTCTTTATTTTGCTGAAACACATTTTAGAATCTACCAATCCAAATCGAAACCCTACAAGCAACTCTATGATTGGAACACATTGTATTTAGAATTTATATATTCGCATGAACTCAAATATTTTAATTTTTTAATTTTTGATGAAAATAAATAAAATAATTTTTTAATTTTTGATGAAAATAAATAAAACAATTTTTTATTTTTTGATGAAAATAAATAAAATATTTTTTTATTAAAAAAAAAACATTTTTATCTACGAATTTAGTTTAAATTTTTTTTTAGATACACTCTTATATTAGTGATGATAACTATAGTCGTTGCATCACCATAGAAGCATTAAAATGTCGCTTTACCGGCAGCTCCTCCGTAAAACCCCGGCGGCCCAAACCCTAAAACCCATTCTCCGATCAATTTCCACCGCCGCCGATTCCACATCTACCGCCGTACAATCGCATCACAATGATCACCAGCGGAACCATGAGTTCCGTCCACCGAGCGACTACCTGAATTCATGGACAGCACCTAAGGATCCTAAGGAGGCGGAGGCTAAACTAGCCCGTTTGCGCCGTGAATATGCGAAGAAAGTGAAGGAGGTGAGGAAAGAGTACATACAAGAAATGGAGCTTCAGAGGATTGAGAAGATGAGAAAAGATGAAGCTAAAAAAGAGGCTCAGAGGATTGCTAATGAGGAACGCAAGGTTGCTAAAGCTGCTGAGAAGAAAGCGAAGGCGAAGGAAAGAGAGGCTGCTGAAGAGGAGTTCCGCAAAACTCTGGTATGTGACTAAAAAAATCAACTTTTTTGTCCGTTTTCGTACTTACATTGTTATGATATTACTTGAGTATACCCATTTTGCTTATCCTAATATTGCGTTTGGTATGGATGGACACGGTTTGAACATTTTTTCATGTTTGGGTGGAATATGTGACATAGGGAGGGGGGGGGGGGGGGGGGGGGCGGAGGGGGAGACCTGCAAAACTCATGCTGAATCTCCCACTGCTTTGTCCGCTAGGCAATCGCCATATATTATAGGCCTATATGGAGCAAAATAGATGTAAAGGATTCATATTGCCGGACCAACTAGGTCAGATTGAGGTGTAGTAGCAGGAGTTGTGAATTTTACTGCTTGAAGTAGCTACTAGGTGATGGTAGTTTTTCCTTAACAGATGATAATTGCCATCAGTGAGGAGTCTATGCAAGTATTAGAAGTTCTAGTTAGTTGGTTTAGGATGTATTGTAAATGAAAAGGAATAAGGTAATGTACTAATAGTCAACATTTTCTGTATGATCACTCAATTGTTGGATACGGGCAGACTTAGGACTTTCATGTACTTGTAATTGTGTTACTGAAAAGTGCGATGAGATACTTTCTTTTGAGGTTAAAGTATGAAGAGAGATCACATTGCTTAAAGAACCTAAAAGGCAGAGAATAAGAATCTGGACTTGTTCTTGCGGCTGATAAATGCTGATAAGCAAAGTTGATTAAATGCATTGGACGCGTCAAGTTCTAGGTATCCTGTGTTATGAGTTTTGATTATGCATGTAAGTCATAGAGTTGAAGAAAATATTAGCAAAACAAGGGATGTGAAAGAGGTTTAAATGCCTGAAAACTCCATATAACATGTAGACAAGATTAAAGATAAACTTATTACGCATGTGCTTCGTCGCTTAAAGCAAGGAGTGATGTGAATGGAGGGGCTATCGCTTCAGAACAATTTCTGGCTCAAATAATGAGATGTTTGTTCTTTGGATCTCAACTTTTGAGGAATTGGATAGTAGAGGCATAATTATATATTGGATGCTGATATAAGTTATTTTAATTCATATATATGTGGTATATTTAGTTTTCCATAAATTTGGCGCTTCACAGAAGAATTAAGAAACATGTGTCTCACTTCACGCTTAGTCCTTGGCTATCTTGAACCGGAAGTTGTAAATCATGTTATACAACACAAGTATTGAGACGGGATTCCTTTCTTCTTCTTCTTCTTTTTGACTTCTTTATACTACTTTTCTTTATTTTAAATCCAAAAAAATCAAATGTTACTTCTGGCTCTCATGTTCATCCAATTTAGATTTAAACTGTAAATTCTCATCGTAATAGCCACTCAAACGTAGTCATTCAATGGTTAGCAAGGGGGATTGTTTTTTTTGACAAAGGTAACAGTTTTGTGTATTAGTCTTTAGCACTAAAGGTTGGGATCCCAAATTTACATCATGGAGCTACATACAATTGCGTGTACTTAAAACAAAACTAAACTAGATCCTACTTCATCTTACAAATGACCTAGGATATCTCTAACCGCTATAGGATCATCTACATACTCCGAACTACACCAATAGCAAAAAGTGATTATGCAGTTCATTTTAATCCTGTGTAAAGGACTACTAATACTCTCAAAGCATCTCATATTTCTCTCCTTCCATATGGTCCACCAAATCACTGCTGGGACAATCCTCCATCTGCTTTGGTCTGTACTGCCACTGCCTTCATTGTTCCAGCTTTCTATAGCCTGACTTGCCCTTTGTGGCATGGTCCAGTTTGTGCCCCTGAAGCTGGTAAGTAAGTGCCACAGTTGTCTAACCACCTTGTAATGAAGAAACAGATGGTTGATTGTCTCTGCCTGTTGCTCACAAAAAAAACATCTAGGACACATGTATTCCCCTCTTCATTAGATTCTCCTGTGTTAGTACCGCCTCTTTAACTACCAACCAAGTAAAGACTATCACCTTATATGGAATTTTGACTTTCCAGATAAGCTTCCAAGGCAAAAATCTGAGTTGAGTCCCCATTTGATTCAGGTTCTTGTAGGCAGAGCTAACTGTGAAGATACCTTTGCTGTGATGAATCCACCTAAGAGTGTCTTCTCCCTCTTTCAATCCTCCAAAATGGTCCAAGGTGCCATAAAATTCAGCTAGTCTATCCACCTCCCAGTCTTGTATCCTCCTTCTGTATGTTAAGTTCCATCCATGGATGGACCAAACTTCTTGCACAGTGGCCTCATGTTGCTGATTCAACAGATAGATGTCTGGAAAGAGTTGTTTGAGGCTGCCATTTCCTAACCAATTATTGTTTTCCATCTAGCAAAGTGTTTTTCAAACACCTAATATAACTTTTTGATGCATGGATGGTTTATGTAGAGCCTCTAACTCATGCATACATTCATAGTCATTCATAGTGCCGGCTCTTGATGACAGATCCATGCACACGATGAGGTACATGCATTGGAACTTGTTTTCTAGAACACTCCCCAAGTGAGGTGAAGTACCTAGGGCTCTGTGTCTTGTTTAAGACTTTAATGCACCTGAAGCATGTTTTTACGAACATTATTAGTAATCTTTTTTCCTCGATTTTTTAGAGACGATACATACCATTCAATTAGAAGGTTCAACTGTAAAGTAGGTGCAAGAGTGTAGTCTGTTATATCATCGAGTATGTCTGAAATGCATATAGCTTTGCTTGCAAATATTCTCAATAAGTATAAATAACATATTCTGTTCTTCTTTAATTATTATGTTTGCAGCTTAAAGAAAGACAGGAAAAGCTTGAATATTGGAGGATGAGGGAAAAGAACTTCTCGAAGAAGAAGAAAGAGAAAAATGATCTTCTACAACGGCAAAGTTCCATGTGGATTGATGAGAAAGAGTTGGAGAAAAAGACACTTGAGGCTATTGTTGACACTGTTCATCTTTGAATTGTTTTCTTTCTCAAACATTTTTGGTCGGAGTGTTGTGTTGTTGGTAGGAGGACTGTTTTGAATAAATTCGAACATGTGTAACATTGAGAAAATTGACTCGTGTTCCTCAATAGCCAAATCTGGCAGAAAGTTAACTGTAAAACAGACTTGCGATGCCATCTTATGAACTCAGAATTGCCTCTTTCTCTTTCAGAGAATTATGTTTGTGAATCTTTACTTTCATGAAATTGAACATCGATTAAAATCTTTGATTAATAAGCCATATGTTGTTGCTTTTAAGGGACTTGAGTTTTTCTCTTGAACGGGGAATTAAGTACATCTATCTTTACCGAATAAAGTAGATCTTAAGGAGCTACCACTCCCTCGCGAATTCACCATACATCGATATCTTTTGGCTCAATTTCATCCCATCAAAGGGAGCAACCACATTTTCATCATGAAAATTCTTACTTTCCATGGAAGATTAGATCTTGTAACTAGGGGTATGTGTTATCGATAAAGAAGAGGCATAAGCATTGCCTCTAGATCCAATCCATCTTCCCTGGTCTCCCCATTTCCTCAAAAATTTCAACCAAAAGACGATTGCAACATAAGCAGTAAAAAATTAAGATTTCTTTGACCATACGGACGTGCTACGCCAGATAATGAGGTTCATAATCAAAAACCACATTTGTGGGCACTTGCATAATAGCAAAATAAACCATGTTTATAACAGTTCCTAAAATGTAAAAGCAAAAACATTAGAAAAAAGACTACTAGCTAGTCATGTCAGCCTTCTATAGAAGTATAAATATATATGGTACACCGGTTGACCACTAATTTTACAGTAAAAAATGAAACTAATTCAAACTTTCATTTACACATCTGCAAAATGGAGAAGACAAAAAATCAGTAGCACTTGTTGTTCCTTGGTGCCATTTCATGCACGGCTTTTTTTTTCTTACAGGCCGAGTTTGGAGTAATAACTTGTGCTACTGAGCTTTTAGTTTATGGATCTTTACATATGGGAAAAATCCGAGGAAGTGCTTGATTTTTGGATTCCATTCTCTTTGCTGAGCACGACAGTACATCAAGAACGTATTTGCAAAGTACACATTAAAACCCATAAGGACATGCCATAGTGCATGACCTTGTGGATTGAAGTACCAGCTTGAAATGTGCTTGCAGAATAGACGATCACACAGCCAGCAGGCAGCTCCAACTAATAAAGTGGCCACATATAACTTTGCAAGCTGCTTTGCGGATCTGTCTTCTGTATGAATGTAATACTTATATGTGCGAGGAATGCATAGAAGGCACAATAGTGCATAATGTAGCATGAAACCAATACCAAAGCGAATCTGCGAATGCAGAATGGCAAATACTACACCATAAAGGAACAAAAATGTGGGCATTGTAGTCTTGTAATGCCAATCTGGTGAATAAATGATATAAATGTAGAGAAGCATTTCCCAGACCATGGGCGTCTCATCACCTTGCTGTTGCCTATCAATTTAAAGCATGGATCATAATAAATTAGAACAACCATCAAATTCAAGCACATATGAGCAAGTATTATCCAACATCTTGGATTTATGACAATTATTTCCCATTCATTCCGTATGCACAAGGCAAAAATATAATTTTTATCTAACAAGAAACTTCAATATCAGGCACACAACATTCAAACAACAAGCAAGAGGGATACTAAAGGAGGTCAACTTGGTATCTGGTTCATAGTCAGCTTTATCCTGTTATGCAGCAAATTAATAAATATGAGTCTATGGGCAATCATTTATGCAAAAATTTAATATCCAATGGAGCTAAACCATTCAGTGTTGAAATGCTAGCAAATTATTACTTGTAGAGGCTATTCCTTTATTATGGAGGAAGAAACATGAGACATTTTGAAGGGACCAAGTCAGATGTTAATGGTCCCCTTATGTATGTTTTGTACTTTTGGTTTTGGTATAAAATGGAAACACCTTTTGAGTAGATAGGTCGATAGATTTTCTAAAGGTTTCATTAATTTGTAAACTAAGACCATCTTGACGTAGCCTCTTTTTGAGGGGTATAAAACAATTAGGCATTACTCAAATCTTTTGATTGATGTAAAGAGGAAAAAATCAAACAATCCACATGGTTTGAAGAGAAACGAAAAGGAGATGGCCAAGAAGAATCAGAATAAAATAAATGTATCATATACAGATTCATCCATCCAAGAAAAGATGCAAAAGAAAAAGAGAAAAGCTCATCCTAATCATCTATTATCAAGTTTACTTACCAAACAGGAGAATAAATGATCTTCTGTCAAGGTTAAACATATAGCTAGGTAGCATTAGCTGCCCATGAGTATTAAGATCAATTTCCTTTTACCAAGATTTAAGCTTCCAACAGTTCTAATATTCTATTAGCTTCTTAGAAAGTTCAAGGTAGTGAATGAGACCGAATAAGATTCTAATGCATTAAACAAATTTTAGGTACTCATACTAATGAATTCCTTCTTCATGCTCCAGGAAGTGGGTATTATTAACAATAAACCAACTCTATGATATAAGAAATAGGAGATAAGGGAGAAAGTGCTTACATCTGCCCCAACGTGGCATGATATATCATGCTCCCTATGGCAAGTACTATATTTGACATATGAAGGACACTGAACCTTTTCTCAAACTGCTGTCTGAGGGCATTCACAAGACCAATCAAAGCCAAAATAATGCATGGGACATTTGATATGGTATTAAAGAACTCTGCAATATAGGAGGAGCGGACATAATTTAGCTCACACCACTCTTTGGTAGATGTTGCAGGACCCCAAAAGCTTGAAATGTCATCTGCCATTTTTTTCAAAATATATATGTACCTGCAATGAAATAATCAGCTAGTGACCAGTTGCAATATTTATTTGACAAAGATGCAATTCCAATATTCTGTGTAATGGACAAAGATGCAATTCCAATATTCTGTGTAATGGCATGTCTCATTAGTTATTGTCGTATCAAGAAATCAAATTCTCAGTACTTCCCTACATGAGGAGGAAGAGGATCCACAATACCGAATAAAGAGACAGTAGGGCATTTGTGATAGAGTTCTTGAACAACTAATATGTGCACAAACAATATTAAAGAACCATTTAATAGAAAAACAGAACAATGAGATTATATTTGCTATGCCAAATAGGTGAACAACAAGGTTTTTCTAATCCACTCAAATAACATCAAGAACAAAAGGTTTTCCAATTTTGGTTTTACAAAATTTTAATCAAAAGTCCATTCACCATGCTTAAACCAATTTAGTACATGATATGCACATATCTTGGATTCAATAGTAAACTTCATAGAAATCTAGCACATGTCTATGACCTATTAACAAAGGGCAGATGCAAGAGACTGGAAACCAGAATCACCAAACAGTTTGCCACAATAAGAAGCACGTCGTTTCATCATTCTCCATGCTTAAACCAATTTAACTAATTATCACAGAAAAACCAGCCTAGCAGAGGCATTTAATATTATACTAGACATAGTTTATAGTTTCCTGCCTTCTTATATTAGCCTTTCCTCTGAAGATTCTCAAACAAACTATCAAATTTTGGCACATTTTTCATATATCCCTTCCTAAGAGTAGCCACCATATTACAATGATTAATGACCATAAACCCTTGAATCACCATAAATACAGTTATATCAAACAACTTCCTTGATATCCTGCTAAAACAAAACCGTCCAAGCAATGAACCAGCCAGGCGTATATGACATACGTGGAAAGATCATCTGAAGGGTTACTAGGTATTATGTGTCAACTGAATTAATTTTTTTTATGAAGAATATGTCAACTGAATTTAATTTTTTTATGAAGAATATGGCAACTGAATTAATAAAGTGTCAACCACTTGCTCCTTCAAGTACAGTTGCAGCAGCAGATCTCTGTTTTTCTCATTTTTGTACAAGTCTGGATCATGCCTCACAACATATCAAAGAAGCTTATGAGAGCTAGTGTTCATGGAAAGTTGATAAAGCCATAATGAAAATCTGGTTAATGGTGCCAGCTAGTATTTTTTGATGTATCTAGAAAGAAAGAAGTCGTAGATGCTTCGATGGAATCTCAACTTCAGATCACTCTAAAACCCAAATGTTTACTAGATCTGTTTAGCTAGCTCAACCAGGCCCTTGTATCTATTATTGATCATTTTTTGGATTGTATATGAGCTGACTCAATCTCTCTTTTGCAATTTTTGCTCTTGCATCTGCTTGATGCTATTAATGAAATCTACTTGCTTCATCAAAAAGAGCATCTGAAGGTAACTTTTCCAAACGTGATCACAAGTAGCACATTGACCCGGTAAATCACACATAATATGTATCACTAATTTTATGCCTTGGTGTTTTTTGGCAACACAAGCACCATAGAACTCTATGTTTGCTCCCAACTCCATCTCGGCTAGCACTTCCTCTCGAGGGTAAGGGGTTTCTTTCCTTATCCGAGACAGGCCTATGGGGTTTAATTGTTGAAAGAAAATATTTTTCCCAACTATATTTCTATCTTAAAATAGATAGTGACATTTCAAAGAACTATTTTCTGAAAAATCCTATTATATCAGTCAATTCCTCTCACATGTATACTTGGTGTATAATCTTTGCACTATCTTTCATCAAAATCCCAAATTGGCAAAGAATGTGTCCTTTATACTTTGCTAGAAATGGCTGAACTCGTAGAAAACTAACATATATCATCAACTCCTTCACCTAAAGGAATTTATCCCCATAAAACTCATGCCCACAAGCATTCTATGTCAAATTTGATATCTTAACCATGATCATGAGCGAGTGCATAAATATACTCCTGAAAGATGAGTGGATATAGGAAATTGTGTTGTTGCGAGCTATCTGGCTACCTTCAAACCTAACTATTAATTCATTGTCCGCTAAATCATGTATTCGTCATTAACTGAAGTAGCCAAAATTGATAAATAACAATAAGCAAAAATCAACTCCAATCATCTGCTTCCTTCACCTCATATAAACCCACATTCTCAACTTAACACAATGGATACCTTCCTACTGAAATTAAATTTTAAGATCACCACAAACAAAATTGTCCATTAATTCATGTATTCGACATCATTAGTCAAAATTGATAATAATAAGCAAAAATCACCTCAGATAAACCCTCATTCCCCAACTTAACACAAATGAATACCTTCCTACAGAAATTAAACTTTTAAGATCACCTTGAACAAAATTTTCCATTAATTCATGTATTCGACATTCATTGAAATAGTCAAAAATTGATAATAATTAGCAAAAATCACCTCATATAAACATCATTCCAAACTTACCACACACAGAAAAAAATAATCTAGTTCCTACCGAAAAAACAAAATTGAGATCACCGCCGAACAAAATTCAAAAACAGAATACAACAAATAAGAGAATCCAATAACATTACATCAAATAAGTATATTAAATTATATGATTGATTTAGCATGTACATAAAATCCACAAATAAAGTACAAATTTACCTTTCAAATCAGATGCAATCCACCGTTGAACTTCTGTAAATCTGTATCAATTTGCTCCCGCGATATATATACATACATATATTTGTATATAATGTACACACACAGCGATCTTCTCCTTCTTCTCTCTCGCTAGGGTTAAGAAAAAAAGCACAAAAAATGGATTTTGTAAAAGTTTAAAAGGAACAGGAGATGCTAATATAATGGGGCGAAATTCGGATTTGGACATTTTTAAGGCGCCTGAGTGAGAAATATTTAAATGTAACTTACGACTTCGTGGGAAGCATTTTGGTCTTTTTGGTCGGATCAAAATCAAAATCAAAATCAAAATCAAATCAATTTAATTAATTTTTAAAAATATAAAATTAAATCAAATCCAAAAAAATTGATCTCAATTGTTATTTATCTTCTCCGACCTAAGTACTTACACTTGGATAAAATTAAATAAGAAAACACATGTATTTTATATCATTGCATAATACATATAAGATGTAAATTATGACGTAGGATATTACATAAGACGCATGTGTCTATTTGTTCAATTTTATCTAAAGTTAGCACCTTATTTGGATGGTTGTTACCCATTGTATTGTATTGTACTGTTAGTTTAAATATAATATTTGTTTTGGTTGTTACTTAAATTTTATTGTATCGTATCGTTTAAATTCATCGTTAGGTAACGACGAAAAGATCCATTTTATGTAATGACCGATTTAGTGTGGTTGAATCGTTACCTTAATATTTTCTTCTCAATTTGTCTTTATTTATTATTTAATAATTATATTTCATCTTTTACCTCTACCTTTTCATAGTAAGTCTACCATGTACCCTATTTATTTATTATTCAAATTAGGGGAAAAAGTCTGAAATATATCCGAACTTTAACTGAAATTGTTGTAATAATATCGAACTTTGGAAATGACCTTTTACCCCTGCACTATTTAATAGTGTATTTTAAAGGTATATATGTGTCTACGTGGACATCATAAATATTGCAGCATTATAAATAGTAATGTGTCCGCGTGGGTACATATATACCTTTAAAATACACTATTGAATAGTGCAGTGGGGTAAAAGATCCTCCATAAAGTTTGATATCGTAACAGTAATTTCGATCAAAGTTAAAATATTTTTCAGACCCTTTTTCCTTCAAATTATGAATGTGTAACGTTAGATAATGATAGAAAATAATACAATTTATTAAATATTATATTCATTCAAACAATAAAATATGATACAATATGATATAATATCAGTTAAAGACTAAATTAAAAAATATATATGTTTATCTATTCTGACAATTCTGAAGTTATTAAAAAGATAGAAAGATGATAGAAATGAGAAGCTTTTGTCAATACCATTTCTTGGAATTAACATCATACCTTTTTTTGTTTGTTCTTTTTTTTTTTTTTTTTTTTGGCACCTCCAAGTTCCAACTTAATTATAAAAAAGGAAACAAATTGAACTTTGGCATTAAGAAAACTCAAAGTTTTTCTAAAAGAAATATGAATTTTATGAGAAAACAAATTACAACAAGTTTAGTAATTGTTATTTTCTTTGTATCAACAGTTTTTGCAAGGAATATTTTGCAAATATCGAGTGAAAATGAAGATGGAATTTGTACATCTATGGTGGAAACTCAAGGCTATGGTTGTGAAGAACATAAAGTATGTTCAATATCCTACAATCCATACAAAAGGGTCATTTGATACGAGGGATAAGTGATAATAATCTCGAGATAAAATATAAGATTTTTTATCCTATATTTAATTAGTGTAATTAGTTAGTCTCGAGATTATTTATCCCATCATACGTATTACAATGACGGGATAAGTTATCCCATCATATTGATGGAATAATTTTGTCTATCTCATTTACATACCAAACAATAAAAACATAAATTATTGACGAATTTTTCTTAAATAAACAGCAAAATGAATTGCTAATTCTATTTTGTCGATGGAATATCATAAAAGTCTATTAGCTATGAATAATTTAACAATAGATCAGTGACGAAATTCATAGCTACTTTCATATATAGTTTTTAGTGGTGATTATATTATATAATATATATACACATTTGTGACTTGTTTTGATTTGTTTTTTTCTTCTTTTAGGTGACAACAGATGATGGTTATATTCTGAGTTTACAGAGGATACCCAAGGGAATATCTGGAAAGGCAGCAACTAATCCACCTGTCCTTCTACAACATGGACTATTAATGGTAATTAATTCTTCACTTTGGTTTTAACTATGCTTATATTCTTTTGCTTCACAAGGACCGCATGTCGATGAACGAAGTATTTTGCATTTACCTAGAGTTTGAAGAAGGGTGAATTAATAATGGAATAAATAGAGAGAAAAACAAATATTTGAAATTTCGGAAAAGAAGAATAAGCCTCTCTAAGGAAATTTCAGTTTTTTTTCGCACTCTAAGGGTATAATGTAGGCAACCTACTATATGCAAGTATTAGTGGGTTAGTGATTGCTTCTACGACTTGAATTCATAATCTATAGGCCACACTGAGATAATTCTATCATTGTTCCAAATTTTAGTTCAAACACTTGTTACAAACTCTATTTTTGTGGCAATTAAGTTAGCGACTTTCAGTGACGACAACTGATAGATCGCCACAAATACTTTTCCAAACCAAATTTTATCATTGTAGTGTTAACGAAGTTAATGCAAGCTTAATTGTTAATTTGTTCTAATTAATCGAAATATTCATTTTTTCAGTCGGAAACAACCTCTTTACCTATATAATTAAGGTAGGGGTTATAACACTATGTATAGATCATCTTCTTCAGATCACTTATACGTGTGAGATTATACTAAATATGTTATTGTTGTTGTAGTTGAAATGTTAAATTTTTTTCGATTAATGACAGGATGGAAATACATGGCTGCTAAATCCTACAGATGAATCATTAGCTTTCATTCTAGCAGATGATGGTTACGATGTTTGGATTGCAAATACAAGAGGAACTAAATATAGCCAAGGACATACATCACTTAGCCCTCAAGATCCAGTTCAGTTTCATTAATTACTTTTGCACTATATCTCATATATGGAACAAGAACCTCGACGTAACTGGTAAAGCTACAGTCATGTGATCATGAGGATCACAGGTTAGAGCTGCAGAAACATCTCTTGCAGAAATGCAGGGTAAGATTGTGAATAATAGACCCTTGTGGTCCAGCCCTTACCGAACTCCGTGCATAGCGCACTGAGCTACCCTACTATTATCACATATATGTATAAATATTTATTACATTAGCCAAAACAACAATTATTATAATTTAATCTATTTATTTTTTTTCAATTATGAACAGGAATATTGGGAATGGTCATGGGATGAATTGGTGGATTTTGATTTACCTGCTACATTTAAGTATGTTCATGATCAAACTGGCCAAAAGTTACACTATGTTGGCCATTCTCTGGTGATTTTCTGGCTATTTTTTAAATAGCATTTCACTCATTCTTTTCTTGATCTAAAAAGGGATAATTCCTAAACAGTTCGGCCAACTAGTTTACAAAATATATAAATTGTGTAAATTTTATATTAAATATACATATACTATACATTTTGTATATCTATACATATTATATATATATATATATATATAAAATCAATGCATAAAGTGTGTATATTTCGACCATAACAGTATATTAGTTGGCTTAATTGTATATATTCATTTCACTTATGGTCATCAAACTTATCTTTTTAGACACTGAAGTTATATAACTACTTTTTGTCACAAAAAGTTATTTCCAACTTTATCTTTAAATAATAGTCATTGTCATAGAGTTTCAAAATTTACAAGTAAAATTTCAGATAATATCCCGACTTTTCACATGTAAAGTTTGAAACTCCACGATAAAAAAACATTTTTCGATTCCAAAGATGGACAGCTGGCTATTTCTTAAAATGGCCATAACCTCTTCATTTAAAAAATAACCATTGTCATGTAGTTTTAAATTTCATAAACTAAAAAGTGGGACTATTTTGGAATTTTATCCAAAGTTCAACTATTTTTAAATGACAAAAATTAGTTTTGTAACTTTGATGCAATAAACAGAAAAAATTAATGACCATCCATGAGGTGTAACGATTTGGGCACTGTCACGAAGAGAGGCTCGATGAATTAGACATGTTTGTGAAGATGCAGACTATCTGCATCTAGACAGACGAACCCTCGAAAAATGTGAACCTAATAGTATGTTTAAGAATAACTGAACTACTTTTTCTTTTTTTTTTGAAAAATCAGGGGACTTTGATTGCATTTGCAGCAATTTCAGAAAATAAGCTATTAGACATGTTGAGATCAGCAGCCTTATTAAGCCCAATTGCTTATTTGGGGCAAATAAAATCTCCTCTTGCAATAAGTGCTTCTCAAAATTTTATAGCTGAAGTAAGAGAACTAATTTTCTTACCATTTTAAGCTCCTGTTAAGCCATAAATTTCGATAGTAGATATTCTTTTTTAAGAAAATAAAATAAAATTACAAGTTTCAAAAACTAGTTGAGACCGATCAGTTTTTGGATTTTTGGGTGAAATTTCACTTTCACTCACAAAATTTTAATGTTTTTTTCAAATAAAATGCATGTTCAAACACAGTTTCAAGAACTATTTTTGAACAAACTTCATGAACTCATTTTTTTACGTTTTAACTAAATTTATAGTTGTTCCTTCGGGGACATCCGATAAAAAAAGAAAACTAAATCTATAGTTAAATGCTAGCTTAAACATGTAGCTTTGATTACACTTCAACAAAAGTAGGTAAAATTTCCTTTTTTATGTTTTTTTTTCAGGGTTTGTATTGGTTGGGAATCCATGAATTTGATCCAAGAGGGTAAGATATTCCATCCAATTCATTTGATCAATGCTTGTTTTTTTAAAAACAAAAAAATAACTTGGAAGTCAAGAAAGGAAAGATAAATAAGGGAGGAATTATTTCGCGGGTGATCATTCAACTTTTAGTTTAAACAAACAAATAACCTTCTATTATATTTTTGGCTTAAAGATTGCCCTATTTCGAATAGTTCAAGGACAAAACTGACATATTCTTTGTTGTTTTGGAGCAATTTTTAAAAAAAGGCTTTTTTGAGCTATTTGGATAGTTGGAGGGTATTTTTAAGTTTGTTGTCCCATAACGGTGAG